CTCTTCCTCCTGAGCCACAGCCATCCTGTGTTACATCTTTTTGCTCCTTCTTCATAGTATTTCATTCTCATTTATTCACCTTATTTGTTGACTGTACTATGTGGGAGAAGGTTGGGGCATTGCTGAATTTCACTTTTCCTGTACTTCTCAGCTGGTTCTCAGTCGACCCGCCGAGGCCGTGGAAGAGGTAACCGCAGCCGAGGCAAAGTAAATGTGCGCAGGGATGACACTGTGAAGTTTGAAGAAGACTTTGACTTTGAGACTGCAAACGCCCAGTTTCACAAAGATGACATTGACAAAGAGCTCCAGAACAAGCTCAAAATCAAAGGTAATGGCTTGAACTGGAAACTTGCCAGGACCTGGCTGACTCAATAGAACTACCAGTATAACAGACACAATTATTATTGTATCCTCTTACTTTGCATTGCAAATGTAAAAACCCAGTTGTAACTAGAAGCAAAGCTGTGGTAGAAGTAATATGTTTACACTGAATCACAAATGTATCACACTTCATTTGATTGTGCACAGACACAGACTCAAACATACTGAAGTCTTCAGTACATTCTGTCATCGTCTGTAGTGATACAGTGATACAAAGTCCCATCCCCAGTTTTATCTCTTTGTGCCCTGATTGCCACTCTATAGCATTTAGGTACCTCCAATAATAAGAGAGCTGAATTTAATGGTCTATAAAATGTCTTTCAACATGACAGATGAGAAGAGTGAAAAGGTGATGAATGGAGAGGAAATTGAACATCTGGCCAATGAGGGGACCGCTGACGAGGAGGAGGCTGTGATAAGCACGTGTTACTATGACAAGTCCAAGTCCTTCTTTGATAACCTGTCCTGTGATGGTTTAAGGTACATCACTATGTTCACGGGCTCAGGGTGGTGGTGTGGAATTTGTTTTTTTTTTGTGTGTTGTTTTTTTGTTGTTGTTGTTAATGAATCTCCTCTGATGGGGAAGGGTTGCATGAAGAAAGTCCGTCTCAGTACAGTTTCCCTTTAAGGAGATAAAACGTGAACCAGAGTCCTGTTTTGTAGCCTTATCAGACTATACTAATGTGTCATAGCAGCTGACATTTGCCCTGCTGTCAAACAGGAGAATTTGGACATTATATCAATTTATACAGTGGACATGAGCCTCAAAGTATTCATTTAAATGTGAAATAATCATGTGAAGTACTCAATCAATACACTGAAAGACTTGTTTTTTTTTTTTATCTCTTTAAGTAAAGCGGGTGAAAGAGGCTTTTCAAAGTAAGTTGCATATTTTCTTTGCTGTGTTTGGGGAGGCACCTAAGGGATGGAAGTTGGGTGGAGAAGAAGCATCCAAGCAATATTTTTTTCAGTTTTTTATTTATTTAGCTTGTAGTTTGAAATTTACCCTGACTGTTCTGTAATGTCTCTACATGTTACACAGACATGAAATAGAAGATTGCACTTATTTTTGTTGATCATAAAACTGTACCCCACAGCAAAGGATACGGACAGCATTGTTGTCAGCTGAATGAGAGACAAAGAATGTTAAACTACTGTATATAACACCGTGTGCTGCTGGTTGAAGCAGCAACATAGACTGACTTCTTTGTGAACAGGGTAAATAGACATTCATTGTTTCTGATTATTTAGTTTGAATCTTCAATACTGAAATAAATCTTGGCAGGATTGGTGGAAATGTGGAGACCCAACATTACCATTTTAGCCTGTGGTGCCTCCCTTTTTTGTCTAGTGTTTTTGTTGAGGCTGGTTGTCAACCAAAAGATGGGCATTGATTGATCTTTGTGTGCATTAGGGAGCGAAGGCCAACCTGGGCAGAGGAGAGACGAATGAACGCTGAGACATTTGGCATCCCTCTGAGGCACAGTCGAGGAAGAGGGGCTTTCCGTGGACGAGGCTTCGCAGGGCCTCATAGAGGCCAAGGGCGACCAGCAAGCAGAGGTTTCTTTTGGCCACCCCGGGGTGCTCCACCTGGTTTTAGAGGTGGATACACAGTTGGCAGAGGAGGCCGAGATTTCTCTGATTTTGACTACAGGGTACATTTAGCAGCTTCGTGACCCCAGAACTTTTTAAAAATATTGCTGAGGTGCTGTTAGTAGGAACTGCTGCTGTTCTAATCTTGTGCTGCTTTTTTTTCCAGAAGGACAAAAAGGTGGCTGCATAGATTGGTCCACAACCCTTCATCATTAAATTATTCCAGCTCAAGAAATTTTCTTGGGTCTCCACATTTGACAAGAAGAATGAAGACATCCTCTCCATCACCAGCACCAACCTGACTGTTTGACCTTGGGGGGTGAAAGTGCACCTCTCCTCCTTTCTCCACTTAGAGAACTGCTTGGTTGTGTGTCTTGTTTTGTTTTTTGGCCCAAACATTTTATTTGATAAGCAGTCACCAGATAGACAAGAACATGTACATACCTTGCTTTGGAGTAATTCTGTATTTTTGCATCAGTGAAGTTCATTTCTTACAGACATCGTCTTTGATATGCAGAAAGCCCACTGATACTGTGAGTGGATCACAGTTAATGTGATCCAGAGCTTTAGTTTTTAATTGTCTTTCAGTTTTGATAATACTTGTTGGCACCAACATTCACTGCATTGCCTGCTCAGACTTGGTGAGGTCACCATGTGTTTAGTATTTTTAGCCAGTTTGCAGGAAATGTTTTGTCTGAATCAACGAAGTAGAAATCACAACCAAGAAACAAAATCTGAAATGAATATTGTTATGAATGAATGTATATCTGGCTCATCTTCTACAAATTGTTGCTCAACCATTTTTATAAAGGTGTCTTCAGTAGTTGGAATGCTTATAATCCTACTTTGACCCCTCAAATCTTCCACTCAATGAATTATGTTTCTGTATTAGGTTTGTAGATGGACTAAAGCAGGCTTCATAATGATGGCAGCCTAATGCAGGGAACCAGTATGAGCCATTCGTTTGACCAGTATATGGAGTTTACAGCATAAGCTTTAGAAGTATTTGTTGAGCGGGTTTGTTTCATATGGCTAAACAAAGAGCATTCCCATGATTTGTGTGTAAAAGAGGAACATGGATTCCTAATGGTGCTTTTAGAAGTTCTTAGTGTTTTTTGTTTGTTTTTGGAATATTTGTTTGTTGTTTTGTTCCAAAACCTATAGTCAAAGACCTTGCTCAAGTTAGATTTTGAATGAAAAGTGCTCTACTATTTAGCCATAAAGGGTATATAAGCATTTGGTTGAGCTGAATTGTCAGCCTACAAGTATGTTTCTGAATTTCAGTACCTCTTAAATCTGCCCTTTAGTGTCCACATTGTACTGAGCCGTCTGAAGCTTCATTTTTTTTTTTTTGTCAGCATCCTTTGAATTATCTTGCAGTTGTTATCAACATTGCGTTTTTCAGCTGTTTCCACAGCAAAACTAAGTTCATGCAGTGTTGTGAGGATTGTTTAATGAAAATGGGGACATTTTGTAAATGGGCTGATGTCCGAGTTTGTTCAGAGCAAGTGGCGGCATTTGACATCGGCCCTCTGGCTTGGTTGTACCTCCTTGTTACATTGTTGTTGATGTGATTGTTCTGCGAAGTGAACTTGGTTTTTGCCTACTTGTGATCAACAGGACGTGAACTGGATGTGGTGCCAGCGCACTGGGGGGAGGTGGGATCATATTTTTGTTTGACTCATTTGTCAGTGCTTTTAGGGAGCACAGCTCCCTTCAACTTAGATTACCTGTTGTCAGGCATATTGATAGCACTTCAAGGTCAAACTAGAACCTTCTCAGACACTGGTGGTTTACTGTTTAACTGGATTTTACACCAGCTGCTGGTCACTGCATGATACCCTTGGGAACCATCACTTTGTATGGGCTTTTGCAATAACCAGCAAGATTGAAATAGAGGGGGAAAAAAAGTATTACTGAGCTAAACTGACATGTTTTCATATGCTTGTTACTCCTTCCAGTCAATGGAATTATAAACCAGGAATAGTTTTCTTGAATATTGGCAAAATTGAGTTTTTATGTCAAATAAAAAGTTGTACAATATCTGTCTTTTCATTTTTATGCATGCCCCAGTATTTTTACAGAAATACCATCTCTCCTTAAAGTTGTACCTTTGTTTTGTGTATTTATTTGAGAAATTATTCAAATTATCCGTTTTCTATTTGGACATGGGTGAATTTGTAGGATCATACAATGGCCTTCAGCAGGCGGAAAGATGCTGTGTTAAATAGTTCTTGAAATACAAAAAGAGACACCCTACAAAAACACGAACCATAAAATTGAAAAAGAAATTAGACAAGATCCAGCTTCAAAATATCACATCTAAGGTGTTTGGAGCTAGCTGGTGCATTGCAGAGCGCACGCAGTAATCCATGTACCGTGTGTGAAATAAAAGGAATGGACTGAGGTATGTGACAGAAACTAAATTAAGTTTTTGAACATCACCAATTATCTTTTTTGACTCAAACATTACTGACTCCTGTAGATGGATATAAGAATATTCTTTAGAGCAGGCCGAAACACAGGTTAAGAGGGGAGTGTGAGAGAACGAAGACCTGGCTGTAGTAGGTAACGTTTAGTTAGCCGGTACTTAACCAGGTGTGGATGTTGACTGTGGAGTAAATTAAAGCTCTGTACATCAGTGCATTTGGTCAGTTGGACTACTGTTAAAATGGTGTTTATCAGTGTACTGCATGAAATAAAATGAATGCCAAGTATTTTACACTGCTTGGGCACACACCTGTACAATTCTATCAACCCTTCTGCTTTAAATGGCGGTCCCTACGTAGAGATGTAGCTCAAAGTGGTGGGTCCCTTACACCTCACTGAAACAATGCTCCATTTGTTTTTAAATTAAAAACTCCTTTTACGTGTATACCTGCATGCATCTGGAATAAAACAGATGCTGGGAAAAGAGCGGAATTCTTAACTTGTTCTTGTTCTCTGGACGGGTTTCACAGGAACTTGAGAAGATAAAGAAATGGTGTGATAGTAATATACTATCTCTGAATTTGGATAAAACTAAATTTATGGTATTTGGGAATCGTAGACTAGATAATGAACTTCAATTGAAAATTGGGGGAGCTAATATAGAACGAGTATATGAAATTAAATTTCTAGGTGTCATAGTTGATGACAAATTCTCCTGGAAATTTCATATCAGATATGTTCAGCACAAAATAGCAAAGAATATATCGATATTGGCAAGGGTTAGATATATTTTGGACGGGAAAGCACTACACGTTTTGTATTCTTCATTGATTTTACCATACTTAGAGTATGGCGTTGAAAACTGGGGAAATACATACATAAGCTCACTTCAACCATTGTATATATTACAAAAAAGAGCGATAAGAATTGTGCATAAGATGGGGTATAGGGATCACACCAATGTAGCTTTCATACAGTCTAAATTGTTAAAATTTTTTGATTTAGTGGGATATAAGACTGCTGTGTTTTTGTATAAAGCCAGGAACAATTTATTACCTGGTGGAATTCAAAAACTATTTAATGAAAGGGAAGGGGGATACAATTTAAGGGGTCAGTTAAATTTAAAAATTCATGTTATACGTACAACCAAAAAAAGATTTTGTATTTCCATAAGTGGGGTAAAACTATGGAATAATTTAAGTGTGGACATAAAAAATAGTAATAGAATTGACGAGTTTAAACATAAATATAAAGGTATGTGTCAATCAAGATATATGCAAGAACAGGCTTAATGATTAATTAGATGGAACATTGTGGGTGTGGTGTATGAATGTTAACACTTTGTAATAATTCTTTAGTATAATACTTGTGTGGTGTAGAAGAGAATTATTTACTGCTTGCAAACCAATGATGGTAAGATGATGTCATTGGGTAGGACTGGATAAGTTTGACTTCTTCCTACTCCATTCAAGCATGTACTAAATATAAGCAAATTGATATTGGAATAGCATTTGTTGGATATGTGTAAAATTATGTGTGTTGATATATCAACTGTCTTTACATGCTTGAAAGAATAAATCAAATCAAATCAAATCAAATCAAATCAAAATCAAACATCTCCCATGATGAAAAATACTGGTACCCATAAGGAGTGATAAATAAATGATTTGTAGTGACATTTCAGCTGAGCCCAAATTGAATAGAAGGAAAGTTTGAATGGTGGAAAAAAGCCCAGAAAAACTTAAAAACAGAGACAAACTGTGATCCAAATTTGACCAGTTATACCATATGTTGCTTTCTAAATAGGTTCCATGGACAAAGGCCCAGGAAGGGCCCATTTGAAAACAGACACTTGAAGTCATCACCTTAGCAGAGGTGTAATGTTATTAAGTATATATGAGTATCAAGCTGAGTATTTCCATTTTATTCTACTTTATACTTCTTTTCCAGGAGGGTCCACATATGAGGGTTCAAAGACAGGTAACAACTCTCACCAATAGCAGACCCCAACAACTCAGTCATTAAAGGACATTGTTGTCCACCAAAGGACTGGAACTCCAAGGACTCGGTCATTAGGTGACATTGCTGGCTGTCAAAGGACTGAAACACCACCCAGTGGGATAAATACCTCCTGATTACCACCAGTCAGATAGAACTGATGAAACCTCTTGGATGAGAGGTGAAACATCTTTCCGACTTGTAATTACGTCCAGATGCCCTCTTGTAAAATTTTCCAGCACAGACTGAAGTCCTTTTTCTAATGTAAAATTTTGAACCTTTTTTCAGAGTGTGTGTATTGTAAGATTTCTTGTTTTGTCAAAGGCCTGGCCATTCATTCATTTCCATATCAAGTGAATGAAGTGGTGTATTTAGGCTAGTACTTGCCCTTGATGGAGGAATAATCTTTTCTTCTGTAAGATCACCTTTACATCTGTTTGATGACTTTGTTCACTAAGCTTTGACGTGGATATTCAGGGATGCATTTTGTGATGGCTCTGAGTCCTTTCTTGTTTATGACTCTATTTTTGTCACTGGTTGAAACCAAGTTCTATAGACTATTCAATACTATAAACATATAATTGAATTTATAGATTTATGACAATTTCACCAAAAACTGGAACATTTTGAGCTTCATAAACACAGATGTTATTGTGGAAGTGTTGCATTTAAGTGCATATAATTGTACAGGTATACCTAATAAAGTGGCCAGTCAGTGCACAGCTCATGCACTTGTCACACAGTTCAAATGTTTGTTTTATAGACATTTAACAAACAAGTGAACCTGAGGCAGAAAGGCAAAGTGTGGAGAAGGACATCTGTGCAGGGACCTCTATGGAGACAGGTGTGTCACCACCAGCTATCCATTGCACAGTACGCTTTCAGAGTAACTGGAGAATTGGTATGTTTTGTTGCTTTATGAGTTAAAAATCATGATTAGATTTTTTTTATTCATGATTTGTTGATAGACAAATCAAACTGGGGCAGTTTGAGAGTCAAATTAGTCATTATTGTGAAATGCAGAATACAAAGAAATGTGCAATACAGAGCCAAACCTTTATGCCATATAAACATGTTGATAATGTTCTTAATGTATGTTGAAATATATATTTTCATAAAAATGAATATCTTTACATTTTTTACCTTTACCAGTAGCTGTTTCAAGAAAAATTGTTGTGATTTGAGTACTGAGGGACCCGTGCCCCAGTAGAGCTTTATGCCCCTGGCCACACTTAGTAATAAATGGTAGAATACAAGTTATTAAATATAGAACTCGCAGTCAGACAGAAGAGGTGATATTTAAGAAGTGGGCGTACAAAAGAATCTGCCAGTGACGTAACACTGTCGCAGATGTTGCTAATTCAAAGAGTGAGAGTCTAAGAGCAATAGTACGTGAGGCAGGACAAGAACTTAAGGTTTAAAATCAAGGAAAGGATCCCGGGTATACAATTGACATTTATCTGCTCTACCCACTCCGATACACAGGTGGCGGTATGTCACCTCTTTCCTTTGGTTTGCGATCTGCCAATAACAGCGAGGAGGAGAAGGAAGGAAGAAGAAAAAGACCCAGAAGAAGTAAGGAGTGAATGCTAAATGTTAACCCTTCTTCCCTGCCCTGTTATGCGAAATTAAAAATTATTTTTCTTCCATCCTGAAGAGCGAAAATAAAAAAGCTATCAAAATTTGTAATATATGTACATCCTTGAATGTTTTTACTTAATTTAACCTATTAAGTCACCCCCTGGCCTAAAAGTCTCATACTTACATTGTGTGCTTCGATGTTGTTCTTGTTTTTGTGTTCTTTATTTTATGTTATAGACCTTTTGTTTATGGTCTATTTACTTTATGTATAACTACTGTCATACACTTTAATAAAGCAAAAAAAAAAAAAAAGAATGCTAAATGTTACATTAGAGACTGTGGGAGGCAGTAATACGTCTAGTTGCGTCAACGCTGCCTTGATTACGGAAAAGGAAGAAGAAGTAAATGGTAAACAAAAATGTCTATCGTCTTTGTTCCAAAGAAATTGCGAGGAAAGGCGAAAGTCAATCAGGAAACAATACAGAGGGTAAGGCACCAGGAAAGGACAGTTAACGAAGCATTGAACTCGCTGTTAACTCGTATTCAGTACATTGACTTATAGCCGGGGCGTTAGCATTAGCTAGTTTATCCATGCTTTCACCACTCTAACATTCAGCTAGCGTACGCGCATGCTTACACTATGGTTAATTTAGTTCTGCAATTTTTTAAAAACGTTTAGTTTTGCATTAGCTTTATTGTTTTATCATGCCACAATTCCTGTACTTTAGCCAGGTGAGTTAAGTTAACCACGGTGTGTAACGTGATTTGTCCTTTATTTTCGATCTTAGTTGCTGGATGAAAATGACCAGTTAATCAGATGCATCACTGAATACATGCAGAAAGGACGCGCAGTGGAGTGTGTACAGTAAGTCTGCCACTAACTCGGCTGTGTTAGCTTGTTTGGTTCATGCTGGTGTGTCTTTATTCTGCTGGATATTTTCAGTTGGTATTTTTTCTGTCCTGCCAGATACCAACAGATCCTGCACCGCAACATCGTCTATCTGGCAACCATAGCTGATGCCAGCCCTGACATAATGCCACCGCCCTCCTCAGATGTACAAACCACACAGTAGATGAGAAACCAGTGCAGTCAATGCATATAGCGACGTTCCTTTAGCTAATAATTTGTTCCTAATGTTACTATTGCTTTTGTTTCCAGGTTGCATCTAATGCAACTACACCCTCCACACCAGCTATGAATGGGTATGGAGGAACATGACGACGGCATGATGTTGACAACGATTTCATATTACAAGGACATTTTTTTATGTACATTCTGAACTGTTATGTCTTTCAATCCAGGATCACTGGTGTTTCAGTTCAGTAATGCTACACTGAATTGTAAAGAACTCTTAGGTTTGTGGTATCCTCTGAAATGCATAGTAAAACATCTTCTATTTTTGAAAGTACCTGTATCATTTTTTCATTTCAGTCTGTTCAGAGGCCTCACTATCAGTGCATAGGAAGCCCAGTTATATGAAGTATGTTTAGCAGGAGCTGAGGACATCAACAGTTTTGCATTGAAGTAGGAAAGTTTGTTCAGCAGAAAACTACAAAAACAGCATTTTGAATTGCTAGTAATTTTTTATTCATTTTTTGCATTGCTGGTACACTTGGAAAGATTCAGTTGCCAGCTCAAGAGAACGATAAGCAACATAAGCCAAGCAGTCCCCCTCCCTATTGTCTATCAGGGCAACACGTTATGTTTTAATCTTTTGTAGAAGCCACTAGTAAACCATTTGACACAGCTGAGAAGCCAACAGTTACAGTCCAAGGTCTGTAATGATGTCTTTAAAAAAGGCTGCAACAGTTAGGGAGATAACACAGACAAAAAGCAACAAATCCTATACCTTGATTGTGCAAAGCACATAACTATAAAAAGATATATATTTATATGTATATACAGCAAACAATTCTCTGTAAACATGTTAAGTATGTTAGTTTTCTTGAAAACATGGTGTCATTTCATAAATACAGGCAACATTGGCATCCGCAAACATCACAAAAAGATAACATTCTGGGCTTTTAAATAGAGCCCACTGCCATAGAAACTGAAGAAACAAGGGCTCAAAATCACCCTCATCACACAATGTTTTAGTGTATAGCATGGCATATTTGGTAACCTTTACAGATAGATGGTGTAGTTCAACTCTGTAGGAAATAAAATGTGCTTTTTCACATATTGGGAGGTGGAAAATAATGTTTTATGTAATATGCCTATAAGAATAACATACAGTAATGGTATAACATGTAAGAAAATACAAAAATAAGATTAATACTGTCAATTGTACAAGAAAAATATTGTCTGATTAAACAGAAGAAAGAAAGTTAGGTTTATGAGAGTTAGTGTCAATCTGGAACAAACAACTGCCAATTAGAGAGAAGGAAATGAATGCACTTCTGGGTGTCAAGATGTTCTCCAATGCTCTTGTCCAGTAGGGTTTTTAACTCTACTGTTCATCAGTAATATCAGACCTCTCTCTTCAGCACCTTTCATCCTCTGAACAACGCTTTGGTTGGAAATAAGATTCTGCAAGTGCTATCAATACCAACATGGCACATAGTTACTGCTATAACTCTTGACTCTGGTCAGTTGTTGAAAAAGTAGTGTATTTCTTTCAAGTTACACCTCTGAAGTGACTTACTATATTCATGCTGAGCCTGCTCAAAGCCTCTTAATAAAAAGAACTAAATATATTTCAACTTCAGTATTTTACAAGCTATCAAACAGTAGATGGTAGCTGTATACTGTCATCCTGCATGAGATTTGGCAGTTACAGCTATGTAGACAGTATATTTATTATGGGCAAATCTTTTTAACCCCTCCTTTACACACACACATGTTCAGCTGCAGAAACAAGTGGGTGACGGTCGTACACGTCTCCAGCTCTTGTCTGAGGAGAGGTTAACTCAACAGACAGAGAAACAGCCACTAGACTAACTGCTGCTAGCATGACACATGCACCTTTTGTATTTAAAACTTGGCAGTTCAAAAATCATCAAAATACACCTCTTTCACATGGGGATGTTGGACATGGAAAAAATGTAGATAGAAAAATGTCGAGCCAGTGTATACTTAATTTAGCCTTTGAAGCTTTCTTCCAATTCAGTGGGTGTGGACTGTAATGGCTACAGCTCAACCCACTCAGTGGCTCATCTAACAGCCAAAGGTCCTCCGTGGCACTTCACTGGGGACTCAAACAGACGGATCAGTACTGGTGAAGATAGGAGGGCCTGTGCTCGTGTTTGAGGGGGAAGGATTTAAAGCCCTTGGTCATGGGTTTGTGTTGCTGCTGCTGCTGCTGCTGGGTGAAAGGAAAGCCAGAGGAGATACCAGCGGAGGGGGAGCAGTCACTGGCAGTGGACCACACAGGAGAATGCAACATCTGAATGGAGTCGCTCCACTGGGTGGAAGAAGGGATGTTCATCTGGTACAAGGAAGAGCTGGGATTGGGCATGGTGTTGGTGTGGGTGGAGTGCTGCCACGGTGCTTTTGGAGGCCAGGTTTTAGTTTTGCTGTCCTGTGGAGCACAATGAATACTGATCAGTAAAGTTAGGAAGTAAACATCCAATTGCAAGTCGTGCCTAAACTAGAATTAACACTTCACGGTTGTATGCCTCCACCAAATAGTCAAATCCTCAGGAATGGAACACAGATATAATATATATACACTAGATGCCACATCTGGTGCACATCTACGTTTGGATGCTGTAATCTAAACAATACCAGAACCAAACAATAAGGAGTAACATTTCGCATGTAAGAAGTAATCTTACAATATTTCACTTTTACAAACATAATGAATTTGATATCACATGCTTGAAATACAACTCAAGATTTTTGGCCATGACTGTATCACTGTATAGGTTATTGTGTTAAGCAACCTTAAACCGTTTCATGGTGCTATGTCTGTACTAAAACGTTAGCTATAAAAGCACACAGAATTAGATAACGTGTAGCCTATAGGCTCCAGAAAAGTACACTGGTGAGGAGAAATGACACTGAGCCCAGTGGCTGCTCTGCTGTCTGCAGCTTCATTAGAAGACTGATAGGACTGGACAGAAAATATTTAAAGGAAGGAGCAATTCCATTAGTTTTGACATTTCCAGACCATATGTGCACAATTAGTGCCACTGGCAAATTCTTTCTATGGGCTATAAATGAACCTCCGAGTCATTTCTTTACACACACGTTCAGCTGCAGAAACAAGTTTGACATACATACATTACATGCATGAACGGAACAGATGTGAAGTCACAGTGACCTTTAACCATCATTCCTCGAATGACAGCTATCGCCAGTGTGGAGGCATAAAAATCTCAAAGCCAAAACAATAGCTATCTCAGCTAATTCTGAGGAAGATGAGAGGAAATTCCTGATCTGTGTGCACCATACAGTTTGCCTACATCTTCCAAATTTTAAATTGGTCTCATGTACATCAATTATTCAGCTAATTATGCTGGCAAGTAATGTATAAAAAGTGAAAAATGTCAGAGCCTCAAGTGACTGCTCAAATTGTTGCCCAGCATTTCAAAACCCAAACATATCTACAGTTTACCAGCAATGAAGAGAAAAGGAAGCAGAAATACCCACATTTGAGCTGGAACTATTGAACATGGCATTTTTGTACTTAAGTAATTGAATCATTAATCAATCATTTAAAATTTTTGTCTGTTCTTTCTTTTTTTGGATGACTGGTATATATTAACTGAATAATGCGCTTTCTGTATCACACAAGGAAAAATAGAAAGCTCACCTGGTTATCATCACTAATGTGATGGAGAGGTGGTGAGGGCAGGGTGCACGCCTCCGGTTCACCACAGCTATGTTTCCTGAGGACAGAGAAATTTACAGTGAAACTTACCAGCACTCAAATAAAGCACAGAATATTTCATCACTGCTGAACTCCAGTAGGCAGTTTTACAAGGATAATGATCTACCCATGTGTAATAAAGTGGAGGAATGAAATGATCACTGTTCAGTTATGCGTTTGAGGGTGGAATACCACCTAAAGAAATTCTGTTAACTGGTTAAATAACTGCAGTGCAGCTTAAATGTTGTCAACATCGGCAATGACAACACTAATCTGAGCCAGAAGAAGAGTTTGAGACTTGCCTCCTTTGTTTAACTGCTGCCACAAGATCTGGCCCAGAAAACATGGAGAACAGGCTGTCACCATTGGCTGAGGACGTCTCATCGCTGGAGCTGGCGGAATCTCCCTGATTGGCTGACCAGCTGCTGTTTACGGCCTCACTGAGGACACAACCACAGATGGTGCAGTATTTCTAATTTACTCTGAACAATACAGTGTAAAGGACCAACACGTTCCAATGTATTTGATGATTTCTGAACACGTTGACACTCAATTTGAGAACAATCGGATGTATGAAACTAATGGGTGTGTGTGGTCATCTGTGTGGTGCAAGAAACTGAGGCATCTAGTAGAAGTGGGCTAAATTTGTTTACTAAGTTTAAGCTTTTAGACATCATGATTACACGTTACTGCTGGATAAAAGTGGACAAATAATGAAATTCATGCATGTGGTTTACAAGTGAGTTGACAATGCAGTAATAGCTGCTTGTTTACTCCTGCCTGCTTTCCCAAATTAGTTTCTGAAATGGATAGTGTTGTCTCATACTTGTTGGAAGAATTAAATGCTGACAGTCATGATTAACATTGTAAATGCCTCACATCCATGATGTCTGCTACATAAATAATTCAATCAAATCATCGGCCAACACTGTCATGCACTATGATCAAACTAAGATTTAAATAGCCCTTCAACAGTAGAATTTAATGTGTGTGCCTTTGTATGCATCTTGTGTTTCATGTTTGATGTACAAAGACGAGCACAATGCAGAGACATACTGGATATGCTCTAAGAGCCCATTTGTAGAAAACAGTCTGCCTTTAAAAACTCCTGGTTATGGTCCATATCTAAACAGAAAGATGTACCCACAGCAGATTCTCCCACACCTTAGACCAGCTCCTGCCCTCATGACACTATGCATCATCTTTTCCTTTTGCATTCATGTTCTTACAAATGCTGAGGAGAAACGTTAACATGGCAGAATAATTTTGCATTCATGTTCTTACAAATGCTGATGAGAAACGTTAAAATGTCAGAATAATAATGTTCAGGTTTTGAAAGAAAACCACCCTTCAACCACTTTTTCTATATAGCAGTAATAAGGGAGATGTTGTGTACAGATGCCTACCCCTCACTGTAGTACTCTGGGTGGGACCAGGTCCTGTGCTGCTCATCAGGCATTGGCCAGTTGTTGTGCGTGTTGCTGGGGCGACGGATGTGCTGCACCTGCCGTTTCTGCTGCATGGCCTGACTGACGCCGGCAACGTATCGTGCAAACTCTGGGTCAGAGCCAACTGTGCATGGACAGGCAGGATAA